ATAGCAACAAAATAATATATTTTTAATTAAGTAAAATATAATAACTTATATTATAAGTTATTATTTAAAAAAAACTGCAAATTTAATGTAATACACATGCTGGATTTGTCATTGGATTTATCATGGATAATAATATCCACCAAATATATCCACCTGATATAATCCACCAAAGCACTATTTTTTAAAAATTGTAATGCTTTATTATGCAGACTGTATATTGTACAGTAATGTATGTAAACAAAATAACATTTATAAATTACATAAATATTACTTGCATATTACTGAGTTGGCATCCATGAGTTGGTCTATTTTGCATCTCTTGCATCCATTTGGATCCTGAACACCCTGACCACCCTAGCAACCCTGGACACTTTTAGTATTAATAAGCATCATTTACATTAAAACCAAAGAAATTATATAAACATTTTAATAATGTATATTTAATGTTTCAATGTGCTATATTTATTACTTTTAAAAATTCTATTTAACAATAAAATTATTAAAAACTTATTACATAATAAATATTTATAATTTTATTAATTTTTAATATAATTTAGACATTAAAATTTAATTTGTATTTATTTTATAGAAAACAAGAATCACACCGCAATTATATACGCCCCAGAGATTCATGTGCACAACATATCACAACAAATATTATTAAAATCCTTGATATTGCAATCACAATGAAAATGATCCTGATGATGTTTGAGTATAAGTTTTATGTACAAGTTTTAGACACACATGAATTTGCCATAACTTGAAATTAATTCAATTATTATCCCCGTTTGAGTTAATCATTAAATAATATAATTTATAGTACACTTTAATATAAAATGCATTTTATATAATTACAAAATTTTGTTAATTTATTACATTTGAATTAACCTGATGCTTTGCAATTGATAGGTAATATACAGTGATTATTGAAATGATCTGTTAACAATTGACGGACATTATTAGTTAATTAAAATTTATAAAAAATATTAAATGCTTACTTCATATCCACGAAAACGGTTTATAATAAATAATTTCCAACAATAAAATCCTATTTTATGTTTGGCTATGCGTTCCGTTGTATTCAATAACTGTATCTAAATGTAAATTAATATTAGTATAAAATTTATTACAGAGAGAGAGAGAGAGAGTTGGAGAGATGCAAAACCTGTATAGCAGAAATCATCATTATTTAAAAATTATAATAATATACTCAATAATTTCAAGGGTATATCTTCAGGCTTATATCATTTTGTATCACTCACTCTATGTTAACATTAATCAATCAATTTTAGTTGTAATTTAAATAGCAATACATAAGTGAAAACAAATTTCTATTTCGTATCAAACAGCAAAATATTTATATTTTATATTTTAAAAATTTAAAATTTTCTTTGTTATACAAAATGCGTTTTGTTTATATATTGTGTCCGCTATTAGCTCTCATTGGTTTGTATTAATATATTGGTTAATTAATTTTATTAAAAAATTACTAACATCAATTTGTAAATTAAATTTATATAAATAATAGATTTTTGTAAAAAATATTATTTTACTAATTTAGTTAAAACAGTAATTCTTAATTTATTATAAATATAAATTTAACAGCACTGCATTAGATTACTGTATGTAACATTACAATAATATTAAAACAATATAACAAGCTCAATTAAATTATTATAAACAAATATTACGTACAGCAATCGGCACCGGGCAACGTGTGACAAGTAGCAAGGCCAAATGCGACAACAAAACAATCAGTACGATTGACAAACAGGTGGGCACATTATTTTCAATAAATGGCCGTGCTCAATTACCCGAAACTGACCGAGAGCTCAGCAAATACTGTACGACAGGCGCACTGACATCCGAGAGTATCGGCGCTTACCTTAAGTCATGCGCCGGCAGTTTTGGCCCCGTTATGGCCCGCGAGTTGATGGCCGGCACCAAAAAGGCCTACAAACAAGTGTGCAAACGAGGGGCCAGTGATAGCCTGACCCGAGATATTATGTCTAGTAATAAGTGCTGGAATAAGGCGGCTGTGAAGGTGAGCCCCTGTGTGCAGGAGTTTGTCGATGTGTTGATGGTGTTGCCCCGGGTGCCCGACCGGGACCGTATGAACATGGGCTGCTGGTGAGTATTTTATAATTAATTATTTTAATTAAAATTAATTTACTTATGTTATTTATTTTAATGTTACAAAAAAATAATTAAGTGGATTAATTAAAATACAAAAAATTTATGCTGATATTTAACCTTCATAAAACATTATTAATGTTAAATATAAACTACGTAATAAATAGTGTTGAGAAAATAAAAATAGCTAAAATATGTTGATAAACAAAATCATTTATAAATTAAAAATCAAAATAAATTATTAAATCAAAATTAACACGATAAAAATTTTACATTTAGCCACGCCTACAAATTGTCTACATGCGCACAGCGGACTCTACGCAAAACCAAACAGTGTCGCAAAGAGCACCGGCAAGCGCTGGACAACCTGTTGGCCAACGGGCCGATGGTATGCGGCGAATACTTCGGCCAAAACACCCGGTGCTCCGAACTAATCGCCCGAACGCCTAAACCGGACCCTCAATCCTACGCCCGGCCGAAGTCACTGTTCGTACCGGCGATGCAACTCATGGACAGCTACCGTACCTTACGGTGCGATGCGGCCGCTCACCAGCGTATGGACCGTCTCGCGCAGCGTATGCTAACGCTGGGCACCGCCGACCAGATACCAGAAACCGGTGCCCAATTGGCCCAGTGGTGTTCGGTGCCCATGCGCGAGGCCGGTTTCGTATACGGTTACATGGAGTCGTGCCTGAGTGATTTTGCTAAATTCTTGGTCAAATTGCTGGCCGGTCAGGTGGCGGGCAATTTCCAGCCCTACTGTAGCGCACAGGGGGTCTCTAAGTTTGATAGTAAGACCAGCGATGATCCGATGGTCAGGGAGTACGTGAAGGCGGCCAAATGTGGCAATAAGGCCGAGAGTAAATTGGTAGAGTGCACCAATCACCTTGTGGATAATGTTATGGGTATTGTACAGGCGCCTGATACACAGCGTATACGTATGGCATGTTGGTAAGTTTTGATATATAATAAATCTAACTCTAATAATTTTAATATATTATGTATAAATAATGTAAAGTAGTAGTTAATTAATTTGATTATTTTACTATTATTTAGCAACGCTTATCAATACCGCACGTGTATATTGAACGCCACGCTAAGCACTCGGGGCTGTTCACAGAAGACGGTCGACTGGGCGGAGAGGGCGGTGTTTGAAAATGTAGAGCCTGCGGTGAATTTAATGTGCCTAGATCATTGGACATCCACCGGAAAGTGTGTGCAACTGTTGGCCAATATCCCCCGTATGGACCCCAAGACGTACGTCAGGCCTAAGAGTGTGTTCACACCATTCATGAAACTGTTTGATAGTTTCCCGGCTGTTGACGAGTACTCAAAATAATTTTACATAGTGGTCTCTCTCTCTCTCTCTCTCATTAACAAAATATCACTATATTAACCAGTGTAATTACCATATTTGATAATTACGGTATTTGATAATTAAATAAACTCACACAAAAAAATAAACTATGGTGTTAAATTACTAATAAGTTACATAGTTGGTACTAATGACAATCAAATTAAAACAATTAACAATTAACTTAATAGAGTAAACTGTTATAATTATTTTAATTAATTGTTATAATTTAATTCTTATAATTCAATAATAAAATATTTCAAGTCATTGCCAAAATAATTTCATATTCTCGATAACAATATTCTAATTATAAAATCTAATACATATCTAAATATATAATTATTATATTAATATATTAATAATATATTATATTAATATTTATCTTACAGTTTAAAAGAGTATTTACAATCTAAAAGTAAACCCGTTTAATACAGACTCTTAGCTGACGTACTTTCGGCTCCAGTAATAATAAACATTTGCCATTGAAATTATTAAAATCCATTTTTATAATTAAATTACAACTTATATGCGTATCTTTCTAGTAACATTTTCACAGACTTTTAAGTACAGTTGAGATATAAATAATGTACTTTATATTGTATAAACAAAATATAAAACGTTTGCATAATAGTTAAATACCCTGTATAGTAAAATTTATATTAAATTTAAGTTTTGGCCATATAGTTTATAATAAACGTTTATGTTTTATTAATATTTATGCTAATTATTAAATCCATTCCCCTTGTATTTACTCAAACAGACCAAAAAGTGCACACAAATACAACAGTAAAATACAATAGGGAGGTGGGAGGAATTTGACAACTAGAAACTATAGAAGGGATAAAAGGAGAGAAATGTGTAACGAGCTTTGTCATCGTAGTCATTATTTTAAATCAAGTAATTTTAAACATGGTATTTTTAAGATTCAGGTATCGGACAAAACAAACTTGTAAATTATTAATATTAATAATAAATAGCACATTTTAAACTGATTTTAATAAGAGAACATAAATTGTTGTCAACTGTACTGCAATTAAGTTAAATAAATTATTATCTAGACGTTTACTATTATTACTATTTTAATATATCATTATTAGACTTAGGAATTATAGTCGTTAAAAATATTTTAATTGTTGTAATTTTTGAAAAATGCGAGACTAGTGTTAGAATAAGGCATAACAATTAAATACCATATTTATATAAAACAGCATTAAAATTTAAAACACGGTTTGATATTTCTAAACACTAGTCTAAAGTTTTTGCATTTTTCCAACAATTAAAATATTTTTAACGACTATAATTCCTAAGTCTAATCATTATTGACATTAAACATTCTCAAACTGTAAATATAAATCTGAAGTAGTTTGTACTATAAATTAAACCATGGCAGAATAAAATATGGGCTATTATTGATATTACAGCGTTATACCCAAGACATCTCAAAAGTAGGCTTTGCCTACATGCACCCATAGACATTACATTAAGTCGTTACAATAGAGTGGCTCTACAGTGGCTCTAGCGCGTTTTTATGGTTATACCCTATAGACACACCTTTATTCCCATTGAAACCCATACTAAACACTACCCATAGCTAACCCCCCATATATTTTACTTCCCCCACTTGAAAGGCACCCCAACACTGACCACATTCCAGGGCTGGGTATAAATACCACAGCCCTGTCCAGTGATCAGGCAGTAATAGTTACACTACAGAGAGAGTCACTAGACTTCTCTCTCTACTTATGCTCTACCATTAAATGCTACACATTGTATAACTTTTATTTGTACTTTTATTCTAATACTAGTGATTGACAATAAATAGTTTGCTTATAAGTTTGTATTGTATTGTGTTGTGTTGTGTCGCCGGCGGCGCGCGCAAGTCATCGGACAGGTGGGCCACACCATACGAGACAATACGGTAAGTGTCGCTATTGGGAGTGCAGCTCCGGTACGTTATGCCTGTTTCCCCTTTGTATGCTATTTAACCCCCAATTATTAACCAACATATTGTAATATGACGTGTTTATTGAATCACTAAGGTGTTTTTAAAATATATACTTTATATTAGAGTACATTTTTTAAGTGACTAATATATGAATTGTATAAATTACAACACAAGGCTTATGTAATGTAATTACTTGGGTGTACTTTTTGCCTACTTAAACTATAAACTTATTATACATATTTAAGATAATTCATTATTCCTAATAAAATCACTTATTTATTAAGGCTTAAAAATATAAATTTAATTTATATGGGCAACAAAACAAACACTCATAAAGCACAAACAACTTGAACATATTAGTTTTGTTTATTGCAAATTTTGATTTATTATTTTACTAGTTATAAAAAATATACAAAATTAAACCAAGCATATTTGTAAATTAATTATTTTTAATGGGAGGGTTTAGTGTAATTCTACCGGTTTCTAGACTGCAATGGCCGCCACACTTGGGTCCGGTCAGTCGGGCGTCGATGTAGCGCATGGTTAAAGTGGCGGCGCCTTTGTCTCCGGCGCACCCGTACTGATCGTCGGCCACATAAGCGTTGGCCGAAAAAAACACGTCACCCGCGCACCGGCCCGCTGTCACTGTACCCGTGTTTACCTCAAACATATCACCTTCATTAAATGTTTAATTATATAATAATTAATCTAATTATAATATTATAAAGTCTCCATAATATGCTAGATATAAATTAATAATAACTATATCTCTGTAAAAAGCTAATTATTATAACTTATTTATTAGTACCGTTTAAATATGAATAATAAACTGATATGTTGGCGATTGGTAATTGTTCCACTTTACCATCTACCAAGATATCATAGGCAGTGCTGGCCTCCCATGAATGGTATCCATTGCATGTGATCTCTTTCTCAAATGTGCGATTAAGCTTTATATATTGCACGGGTGATCCAGTACATTTAATAGACTTTACCACGGTCATGTTTGTTTTCATAAATGGAGTGATAGCTGTAAATAATTCGTATTATAATGATGTATATTGCTTAAATGTAAAGTTTTATGATTATATTGGGAGATGCACGATAACGTGTTATTAAATCATAATATAAATTCACCAAATTTTTCACCAGTCCGAGGTAGGCCATTGTTTAAAAAGGGTTTAGTTTTACCATTCTCTAATAAATAATATAAAATGTTTGTGTCAGGAGATGGCACTCCTGACCGCTTCTCTCTCTCTCTCTCTCTCTCTCTCTCTCTCTTTTTCTCACGTGACTGTCAGGCGTTGGCAGTCATCTCAAGCCCTATCCGTTTCCCTTCATCTCATCAGAGCGTTTTCGTCGTCTATGGCGTCGACACGCCATCGAAGCGTCTCTCACTTCTTAAACCCGTTTTCCCGTTAAACCCGAACCAATATTAATCAATAAATTATCGTTTTTGTTAATACTTGGCCTACCGTTCATTCATTGTAAGCCGCAATGCTTACAATTGGCGCAATCGCCGTGATATCGTACCTCCGCTAACCGACCCTTTGTCTCAACAAACTCTTTGTCTCTCGAGCGCTACTGAACTGCTCGTCGCTCTCAATCGTCTCTTCGTTATCGACCGATGCCTTCAAGGATTGGATCAACACTACAATCGATGCCATCGCGGATCGATTCGTATCGTAATTCATATCGAGAGCACGCCTTTCAAGTACGAAGACATCGAAGACAACATGTTTGAAGAGACACCGCCACCAACGGACAGCAAACGTTCACTACTGTAGTCGGACATCAACCGCTGCAACCGTTGGCCACTCGCCGCTCAAGACTCGCCCTCCGCTTCCAAAGCAATCGTCGATTGGAGTCAACGCTAGTCCCGAACTGGTCCGCAGCCCAGCCTCGACCAGGACGTAGGTGTCGCTCGCACTCATCGACACATCGTATCTATCGATCGGAGTCAACGCTAGTCCCGAACTGGTCAGCAGCCGAGCCTCTACCAGGACGTAGGTGTCGCTCGCACTCATCAATACTATCGTAGCGTCAGTCACGACCACATCCGCAGTCTGAGCACCGCCTCATTGATGATCACCCGCACGTGGTTTGCAGCGCCCGCTCGCCACCGGACATCAATCACCTCAACGCACACAAGAGCATAACCAGTGCTGTGCGCCGCCAACAATCGTCTAATCAGTCTAATCGTCACCGCATTCTCTTCCGTACACATCCGCCACAACACGTACAGCACGTCGTGGGGCCCGAGTGCCGCCACCGCTCGTACACACATCGTATCACCGCCGCAATCAACGCATTGTTGTCTACGCGCCTAACGTGGTTCGCAGCGATCGCTCGCCACGTCCTAGACATCAATCGCTAGTCGCCACGTGTTTCCGTTCACCGCAAGTCAACGCCTTAAGCCCGGTAACCTCTGCGCTCATCGGAGCCCGGTTTACCCCTTAACGGCGGCACTTCTATCGTCACGTGTGCTATCGTATCGTATATCTATCGCCACATCGATCTCTCACAGACTCTCCGCCGCTATCGTCAGCTCATTGATGTCTATCGTTTCTCGTGGTTCGCAGCCGTACGCCGAGCCGTACGCTGACCATCGTCTGGACATCAATGCCGACATCTCTCGTATCTCATCGTTCAAATGCACGCCTCGAGACTCTCAGTCGCTTATCGCTTTGCATTCACTCTACGGGTTCGTCACTCGTCACGTATAATCGATAAGAAACACGAATTACCGTCGTTTGCAATCGTGGCCTACGAAAGACATCGACAACCCGTCCGCTCAAGACTTCCGCAACGTCTACTACGTCCGCATCGGTGGACGTCGGCCAGAGCGGGGGGAATGTCAGGAGATGGCACTCCTGACCGCTTCTCTCTCTCTCTCTCTCTCTCTCTCTCTCTTTCTCACGTGACTGTCAGGCGTTGGCAGTCATCTCAAGCCCTATCCGTTTCCCTTCATCTCATCAGAGCGTTTTCGTCGTCTATGGCGTCGACACGCCATC